GGAGACCGAGACCTCCACTTACAATTGCTTCTCTCAGCTATTCTATCCCAGTGATGAAAATACACACACACACACACACACACACACTCACACACACGTTTTTCTGTATTCTCTTTGGACAGGTGGTTTCTTACTAAGCCATCTGGCCCCAGTGCTGGTGATGGTGCCCTGGGGTCACCTATGGTCCCCAGATGTACCTCCTCAGAGCGGGCATCCAGTTCTCAAGTTAATGATGCACTCATGAATGAACACACAGCGCTGAGTGAGCGGGCCTCAGACCACACCGCCGTGTTTGTACAGGGAAACATAGAAAACAGGTTATTTGAATTGCTCATTGTTCTTGAGACCCCCTCCCCCCACCCCAACAAGATAGATGTTTTAAATGTGGCCTAAAGTTCTTCTTCTCAGGCACAGTGATGGAATTACTCAGTGGATGACAGTACTGACAGAATCACAAAGAGGAGTAATTAAGGTGCTAGGTTCATTTCAGATTTTTTTTTGTTTTGTCGGTCGTGGGGCTTGAACTTTGGGCCTGGGCGCTGTCCCTCAGCTCTTCAGCTCAAGGCGAGCACTGTACCACTTAAGCCACAGCGCCACTTCCAGTTTTCTGGTGGTTCATTGGAGAAAAGAGTTTCACGGTTTTTCCTGCCCAGGCTGGCTTTGAGCTGTGATCCTCAGATCTCAGCCTCCTGAGTAGCTAGGATTATAGGCATGAGCCACCGGTGTCTGGCTCAGATTTTTTTTTAACATTTCCAAAGAAAATTCTTTCAAGGGATTCATGCTAAAAAAAAAAAAAAAGAGGGGAAGGAGAAGGATTGGGATTGGGGGGGAGGGGGGAGGCTGGGAAGGGATGTGAAGGGTAAACAAAGGAGGAGGCTGCAATGCTTGGTAAGAAATGTACGCATTATCCTGCCCATGTAATTGTAACCCCTCTGTACAGTATGTTCACAAATAAAATAAAATTAAATTTAAAAAAAGAGTATAAAGCATTGGCAAATCAGTCTACTACTTCCATTACTAACCATCCCCCCCTCCCCCAATCTCAGCACAATCCCACATCCTACAGTCAGCATCTAAAGGCAACAGGCATGACTCTTTTATTCCTGAGTCTGATTTCAGGACATCCTGAACTTTGAGGCTCAGGAGAACTTCTCAGACCCAAATCTATCACAACACAGTGACAGGAGGGCATCCACACGGATCCTCCATTAAAGGAAATGAGCAGAGAGGCTCAGAAACAGGGAGGCTGAGTGGACCAAATATCTCAGGCCAATTAGCTTCCTTCCCGGCTCTCAGAAGTGGAGCAGGGGCCTCGGTGAGCATGCTTTTGGGGGGGGGGGAGGGAAGACCAGAGGAAGCAGAGTTTGACCTGTGTAGACTCCTGCTAGAGTCCCTCCCTGGCTGGAGTCTTCAAATCAGGGAATCAGGGCCTTTTCTAGAGTCCAGAAGCTCCAGTGGTGTCTCATAGGACATCTTGTGGTGTCACTATGGGATAGATGAGAATCTTGAGGACAGTGGTCATTGCATTTTGGGATAGATAACACCATGGAAGGCCTCTGCCAAGGCAGCGTTAGGCCACAGTCTCCTCTACGTGATGGCCATATTTGGAGCTCCTTAAAAACAGGCTTCCTGCCAGCGCCAGTGGCTCACGCCTGTGATCCTAGCTCCTCAGGAGGCTGGGATCTGAGGATTGCAGGAAAGTCCATGGAAATCTTATCTCCAATTAACCACCTGAAAACCGGAAGTGGTGCTATGGCTCAAAGTAGTAGAGTGCTAGCCTTCAGCAAAAAGAGCTCAGGGACAGTGCCCAGGCCCAGTGTCCAAGCCCCATATCTCACATACACACACACACACAGGGCTTCCTGGACTTGAACTTGGAGCCTTGTGCTTGCTAGGCAGGTGTTTTCCTTCTCCCATCATACCCCCATCCCTTTTGACTTTGCTCTCAAATTTATCCTGAGACCAGTCTAAGGTCTTGATCCTCTTTATGCGTCTAACGCAGCTAATATAACAGGTGCAAGACACAAAGCCCAGATTTCGGTTGGTTGAAATGAGGTCTTCACCCAAGCAGATGTCAAAATCTTGATCGTTCTGGCCTCTGCCTTGACAGAGCAACAGCCTGGCAAGTTCTCCACTGTCTTATGTGTGCAAGTGAGTGTCACTGGTCACATTTTCAAGGTCAAAAGTGTTTAAGCTGAGCTGAAGGAAAGTGATTCACACAAAAAGGCAGCTGTGCACCCAGGCTTCCTTTTCTTTTAATCCTAATGAATTTTTTGCAGATCTAGCTAATCTCCGCCCTGCTTCCTGGGACATCACATGCTTCAAGCTCTTTCTGTAGGCTGAAGGAAGCAGTTAATTTGGGGAGGGGGGGGGCGGGCAGTGTGGGAGGAGATTTCTGCTGAGCACAGCTCAGGAAAAGCATGTGCTGTCTCATGAGGGAGGCCTGCATGTGTCCTCAGGAACTGGTAAAAGAACCCCAGGGTGGCTCAAGGACTCTGGAGCTCCCCTGAGAGACCACTCTGAGCCAGACCCGCTTGTCTCTGTTTAGGACACGCCCAGTGAGATGGGGCCCTTCCAACCAATGATGACTAGAGCTTAAATCCAACATACTCTTAAAACTTCTAGATGGTTCTCTGCTCTTAGCGTACAGTTAATTACTGTAGTAAATAAAGGTCTCCTATGGAGGAACAAATAAAGGAATTAATACCACTCCCAAAGACTGAAAGGATGTTGAGTAATGCCCAGACACATTTCCATGTGGAGACAGCAGCTAGGTCACTGTAGATAGGTATTCTGACCTATTATTCTTTCCCTTCCTTCTCTCTGGCCCTATTGGACTCTGTGTGGAACTGTCTCTCTGAAACCTTGTGTGTGGCGCCCCCTCCTGGCAGGTTGGCCATCCACTCTGCGTTGTTTTTTCTAGCATCAACCTAACTCCTCAACTGACATTTCCCTGAAAAGAAAATTAAAATAACTTAGGTAGATTTAAGGAAATATGTATAATATCCATATTCTAAAATGATGAAATATTTATATCGAAACTAAAGATGTAAATAAATGGAGACATATACTAGGTGCATGGATTGGGAGATTCACTATACTAAGATGTCAACTGTCTCCAAATTGATTTAGTTAATATTTTCATATGAAATTCCAGCAGGATTTTGTATATACAGAACTACAAGGGACTGCCAAGGAATTTTTCAAAATATTCAATTTTAGAGAGAATCTAGAAACAGAACTTTATTCATATGGAAATTAAGTTTTTGACAAATAGTCCTGTGAAACTGGCTAGCTGTAGGAAAAAAATTCCATTCTTCAAATTAAAATCTCCAAATTAAAAATACTTCAAAAATGAAAGAAGAATAGGCAGGGTAAGGTGATACACACCTATAATCTCAGCTACCCAGGAGACATAGGTAGAAGGATTAGTCAGAGGCCTATGTGGGCCAAGGTGTGATACTGGTCCTGAAAAACAAATGAAAAGCAAAAGCACTGGGTCATGGCTCAAATGGTATTCACCTGCCTAGTGAGTGTGAGGTCTTGAGTTAAAATCCCTAGTTCCTTAGGGGGCTGGGAAGGTGGCTCAGTGGTAGAGCGCTTGCCTTGCATGCAAGAGGCCCTGGGTTCGATTCCTCCGCACCACATAAGAAAAAAGAATAAAAGCCAGAAGTGGCGCTGAGGCTCAAGAGGTAGAGCGCTAGCCTTGAGCTGAAGAGCTGAGGGACAGTGCCCAGGCCCAGAGCTCAGGCCCCATGACTGGACTCCCCCCCCCAAAAAAAATCCCCAGTTCTTAAAAAAACAAAAAAGATAATAAATACCTTTTCTTATCCACAACAATGAAGAAATTCATCACTAGGAAACAGGAACTAAAAGGAAAATAAAGTTTTCTTCAGGCAGAAGAAAAATAAGCACAGAAGGGAAAATGTGGCATTTCTGGGAAAAATAACAACAAAATGGACCAGACTGTAGGTAAATAACATCAACTCTACACATTAATATTGATTCTTCCGTGTTATTTCAATTTAGAGTCAGGTTTATAGAAAGGAAATTCATAGGCAGACAAAAAGCAAACATCAATTTTGATAAATATTTTATTTGAACACTTTAATGTTTCGTTCCATAGCCAGACGGTGAGAGGGTGAAGCTTAGCAAACTCGAGTAGCTGATTTGCGTGCCACCATTTGAAGTCCTTTGCGAGATTTAAAATTTTGAAAAGAAATCACACATTTCCCTCATGTTCTATGTGCTCCCAAAGGACTCCAGGACAATGTCGAAGTCAGAGTTATTTTGTAGAAATGCTTTAACTCTGCCCCATAGCTTCCTGGTGCCGCCCAAGAGTTGAACCATATGGTCCCTCTCAAAGCAGTAGAAGGACCTGGCTGTCATTTCCCTCCATATTCAGGACTGGGGAATTCCACAGCCCCAGTGAGAGTGGCTCACTAAACAAGGTGAGTCTCATTTGGTCCTTAAAAATATTAAAAAGAGGGGCTGGGAAGGTGGCTCAGTGGTAGAGCTCTTGCCTTGCAAGCCTGAGGCCCTGGGTTTGATTCCTCAGCACCACATAAGCAAAAAGAAAAAAGCCAGAAGTGGTGCTGTGGCTCAAGTGGTAGA